ATTTGAATCATTCTCTTAAAAATGATTGTGCTAGAGCAAATACAAGTAATGGGAAGTTCACGTGTAGCTGTGGGGCTACGCCAAAATAAGAATCTTACCATTACCTTCTGGAATTTATGCCTGGAATATTATTTGTAATTACAAAGGAAAATCTATAGTGTACCTATAAGACCTAGCTTTCCCTTTCTGATCAATGCATTTGTAAAACTAGTAGCTTTATGCATTTTGTTTAAATGTTTTAAGGCTTCGACTATCAATTAATAAAGTTTTTGAGTGCCTACCAAGCGGGCAGTTACTGACAGGCCTAGGTATGTAAATATAAGCAGAACAGTATTTTAGTTAGGCAGACTCAAAGAACAAATTAATTACAAGTTTAATCAGCACAATGGCAGAGGAATATATAAAATGTGCTGCTGACGTATTACAGGTTACTACTAAATTACTGAAAACTCTCCGTGATATTGAGTCTTTTCCTGACCACTGCACCTAACACTTCTGGTCTCCACCATGACCTCACATTCTAGTTCCAGGTACTCATCTCATAAGGAATTTCCTAAAATTTATATTTAAATGTAAGCATTATTTTAAGTCTATGAGTAAGAGTTGTTTTTAAGATTTATTTATTTGAGGGACAGTGCAGGAGAGAGCGAGTGCGCAAGTTGGGGGAGGGGAGGAGGGACAAGCAGACTCCCCACTGAGCAGGGAGCCTGATGTGGGGGCTCCATCCCATGACCCTGAGATCATGGCCTGAGCTGAAATCCAGAGTCGGTGGCTTAATCTGAGCCACCCAGGCGCCTGAGAGTTGTTTTTGTAACAGAAATGAAAACACACACTTCTAAACAATTCAGGTGTCAAACAAAAAACCTTAATGTTAACTGGAAGATATTTTAGTACAATTATAAAAATGCCACAAGTCATATCTCATGAGAAAGGGCAGCAGCGCATTATTTTGGGGTCTTCCCATGTCTAGACTGTGAGGCTCCTGTGCCAGGAGGCCTCAGCAGGATCCCCGGGAGCAGCGAAATGCCAATTTTAAACCCAAGTATAACTTAGGTTCTCTGGTATCCACAGAATGAAAGCCATTTTCGAATGCTTTCATGACAGCTAAAACACTGAAAAGCACAGTAACAGAATCAGTACATTTTCTGAGTAGAAGTCATAGTTTTTAATTTTTTAATTTTCTTAAGAGATTTTATTTATTTATTTGTCAGAGAGAGCCGGTGCAAGCACACAAGCAGGGGGAGCATGAGGCAGAGGGAGAAGCAGGCTCCCCACTGAGCAAGGAACCCAATGCGGACTCAACCTGGGATCAGGACCTGAGCCAAAGGCGGACACTTCACTGACTGAGCCACCCAGATGTCCTGAGAAGACTGCTTTATGCAGCTATACAGGCAATTGTATTTCGCAAGAAAGACACTCATCTACCACCTGAAGATCAGGCTACCATAGATGGCGGCCACATCGAACAAACTACGACAATTACAGGTACCAGCTGAGAAGTCAGATCCTTCGTAAAGGAATCTTCTCCAGTGCTGTTGACATGTACAGAGAACATGGAAAATGTGGACTAGTTCCGCTTGCACCACAAGCACTGAGCCCATCAAGCAACTGGCCAGCTACAGTCCTGCCCCTGGAGTTTAGGAAGCAGCCACGGCGGCACTGGCCACCTACTCCCCCTATCCTGAGCCACAGATCACAGAGTCTAAAACCTGACTCATAGGCACATGGGTCCAAATATATACTTGCTGATTGATTAGACTTACCTGTCTAGTAACCTTCCTTTTTGGGGGGTGGGGGGAACTCCGAAATAATACATAGGAACCATCTGTTTAGGAGAAGTTACGCTGATTTTTTTTTTTTTTCATAATTGCCGCATAAGGTTCCCTGACACAAGATTAAGAAACACCGCCAGAAGCCAGCCACTGCAGATTCTGTTCCCATTAATGGCACCAAGGGATGCGCGCTGGTTACGCAAAGCTTCGCCACCTTCAACTCTGCCGGCCAGGAGGACTTATAGCTGGGTCAGCTTTACGATTTCAGTTCTTGCAGCTTTTCTAAAGGTACTTTCCGTTACTTGTGCCATTATTTAAAACCACGGAAAACATCTCAGCCGGAACATCTCTGAATAGAATGTGTTGAGTTTTTGATGAAATAATAATTATTAGAGCAAAATGTATAGAGTCTCCTATCACTGCCTCCACCAATTCTTACTTTGAATTTCCAAGCTACAAAAAAGTTATGAGAATACAAAGTAGAAAGAAAACCTGAGCCCTCACACGCTGTTGGGGGAATGTACAAGAGTACAGGTACTTTGGAAAACAGCTTGGTGGGCCTTCAAAAAGATAAAGACAGTAGGGCGCCTGGGTGGCTCAGTCAGTTAAGTGTCTGACTCTTGATTTCCGCCCAGGTCATGATCTGAGGGTCATGAGACAGAGCCTTCTGTTGGGTTCCGTGCTGGGCGTGGAGATACTCTCCACATGCTTAAGATACTCTCTTTCCCTTTGCCCTCCCCACCCCTCCAGCTCATGCATGTGCCGGCTCTCTTAAAAAAAAAAAAAAAAAAAAAAAAGTTGGGGCGCCTGGGTGGCTCAGTGGGTTAGGCCTCTGCCTTTGGCTCGGGTCATGATTTTGGGGTCCTGGGATCAAGCCCCGCATCAGGCTCTCTGCTCAGCAAGGAGCCTGCTTCCCCCCCTCTCTCTGCCTGCCTCTCTGCTTACTTGTGATCTCTCTCTGTCAAATAAATGGATGAAATCTTAAAAAAAAAAAAAAAGTTAAATATAAAGTGTCATATCACCCAGCAATTTCACTCCTCTGTATGTATCCAAGAGAAATGAAAACATATGTTTACAAAAACACTCATACTAGAATGTTCATAGTAGCATTATTCATATAAGCCAAAAAGTGAAAACTACCCAAATAAATGTCCATCAACAGATGAATGGGTAAATAAAAGATGGTCTGGAATGGAATACTACTCAGGCCTAAAAAGGAACCAAGAACTGATACATGCTACAGGTATGAAAACTGAAAACATAATGCTAAGTGAAAGAAGCCAGTCACAAAAGACCACATATATGAAATTTCCAGAACAGGCAAATCCATGGAGACTGAAAGCACATCTGTGATGCCAGGAATATCTGCTAACGGTACAAGGTTTCTTCTTGGGTGGATCAAAATGTTCTAAAATTAGATGGTGGTGATTATTTGAGCAACTCTGTGACTATATTAAAACCACTGAATTCTATACCTTAAATGGGTAAATTTTATGGTATCTGAATTACATCTCAATAAAACTGCTATTAAAAAAGAATACAAGGGTGCCTGGGTGGCTCAGTTAGTTGAGCGTCTGCCTTCGGCTCAGGTCATGATCCCAGGGTCCTGGGAGAGAGTCCCACATCAGGATCCCTGCTCAGTGGGGAGCCTGCTTCTTCTTTTCTGTCCCCCACTTGTGCTTGACTCTCCAGTGCTAATAAATAAATAAAATCTTAAAAAAAAAAATACAAAGTAGACTCATATAGCTTTCCATTAGAGTCGTCAATTATTAACACTTTGCCCTGTTTGCTCTCTCTTCATCTCACATGCGCATTCACACACAATCTGTGGTTGAACTATTCAAAATTTAGTTATTGCCATATTTTACTCCTGAATACTTCAGTATGTGGCGTATACTCCTACATAGCCAAAATACAAATATCACACTAGGGAAATTTAACACCAAAACAAAGCTATTATTTAATATATAGTCCATACCCAAATTTGTCAAAAATTATGCACAGTATTGGCTATCTATCCCTTTAGTTTCTTTTAATCTAGAAAACTTCCCCTTTTTTCATGACATTCACATTTTTTAAAAATGCAGGCCAGTTATTTCAGAGTGTTCCTTCATTTGGAAATGTCTGATTGCTTCCTTATGAGTTGATTTAAGTTGAACCTTTGTGGTAGGAATACTACATAGAAGAGTTGTTCCCTCTTCCGCGCATCAGGCCAGACCCTCTGTGATCATGCTAGAACATTATGTCAGCAGTATCATCAACAGTGATAGTGACGTGATGCCGCCAGCCGTGGCCAGACTGGTGATGACCCGATTCCTCCATTATGAAGGCAGCTTTTTCCCTCTGAAATTAGTAATTTGGGAGGTGACCCTCTGAAGCTGTGTAAACATCAGGTTTCCCCTGTAATGTTGCACTCAGAAGGGTTTAGCATCTGTTCATGATCTTTGCCCCGTATTCAATCCCTTTTGAGACTGCTCCGCCTGTGTGGGGCCAGCCACTCCTCTCAGTTTTATTCCAGTGTGAGCCAGCTGTGATTTCAACACTGGCTGCACAGTACAATCAGTGATATCTCTGGAAGTGGGACCCGGGCAATCACACTTTAAAATTCCCAGGGTGACTGATTCTGATGTAAAATAGGGAACCTTGAATCAACCGCGTTTTGCAAATAAGGAAACTGAGGCCAGAGGAGGTTAAATGATAGACGAGTGGCACAAAATCTGTTAATGCCATCATTACGATTTTTATTTTTTTTTTGTACTTGCATTTTAATATACCATGCGTTCTGAAAATCAGAGAACAACAACAAAAAGAGTAACTTCTGCATGGCGTTAGAGCTGGCCGGACCCTGAAGTGCCTAGTTCTGTTTTCGAGGCGAATTCTGCCTTTCATTCATTAAGACCTCTGCAGTCGCTTGGGGAGTGAGGGAAGGGGGCATGTGCACACCAAGCTCCCCAACCCTCAACAGACAGCTCAAGCTCTGGACCCAAGGCCGAGCGGACGTTCCGAGGGCCAAACGGTTAACACTGCAGCCCAGGCGCCGGCCCCTCGGCCCCCACCCCTGAGGACGTGGCGGGCACTCCGCCCGGGGTCCTGTAGGGCTGCGGGCCGCGCGCGGGGCACACCTGGCGGGGACGCACCTGGCAGAGCGCTCTGCCCGGCCCAGGGACACCCAGGAATGCGCGGGGCCCTGACGACGACCGAACCCGCAGGACCGCCCACCCTACTTACCCCGGCGTGATAAACCTTGTTCGCTCTCTTAATCTTAATGTCCAGGGAGGTCCCCATTTTCGATTACTCCGCTGAGGGAGCGACTTCCTGACGCGCGTGACCCGAGGGGAAGGCGAGTCGCCCCGCCCCTCCGAGCCGGCCCCGCCCCTTTCTCCGAGCCGGCTGCAGCCGTTTCTGGAGACCTCGCTCGCTATTCCGGATCGACTCCCCCGCCTTCCTTTTTCCGGTGCAGGGGCGGGCCTTAGAGCGAGCTGAAGATCTGTCACTCTTCGCCCCGCCCCTGCCGGACGTGAGGGGCGGGACCAGGCCAGCCCCACCCTTTCCGTAAAGACGCTCTTAACACCGGAAATGCCCCCTCCCTGGTTTACTGAGGGGGGGGGAGGGGAAAAGAAAACGGCTACCTCCCGGCATGCCCCGCGGTAGTGGGAGGTTGCGTGTCTTCGGCGCGGGCCCTGCCTGTGCCGGAGAGGTGAGGCTCCCGTCAGACTGGGCGGCGCACAGGCGCCGGGCTAAGGAGTGGGCATTAAGGTCGTGATAGCTTGGGAGTGCGTTCCTGCCCCAGTTTCCTTCCTCTCGTCGTCTCTAGTCCTTCCCCGGTCTCTCCCGGGGGTTCTGAGGGCCGGCGTCCTCGGCTCTGCGGCGCTGCCTCCCCTCCCCGCGACCCCCGCTCACGCTGGGCCGGGAGCCAAGATCTCGGGGAAGCGCCGGATGGCCTCGCCCGGCTCCGAGCCGCAGCGCCGGGTACCCGGGAGCCGGGGCTGCGGGGGCTTGTGGGTACTCCCCCGGCGCGCGCCCTGCAACGGTGCTGAATATTCATGGCGGTGCGCAGAGAGCTGGAAGGCGCGGCCCGCAGGCCCTCGTCCCGGCGGCGCGTGGACCGACCGGACCTGCCGGGTCTCCTTTTTATTCCCGGCCAGAGCTGTCTGAACCAGACACGAGACACAGATTGGTTTGGGGGCAGAGGTGCCTCCAGGCAGGGCAGCAGTACAGGCAACACACTGCTTTGACTGAAATAAAATTCCCTGTAGGTGTTTTAAACCAGGACTTTTCCAGTAAGCCCAGAGGTAACATTTCGTTATTTTGGTAACAGGCAGTGCGGTGGAGAACTGCTTTTTGTTTTTAAATTCCTTATTCTGATGTCCGTGTTTTCAAATGCATCACATTTAAGATTACATTCGAAATTTTCAGTAAAACAATTTCATGAGTCAGTTTCACCGGCGCCTCCCTCTTGAGAATTTAAGGCATTTTATAGGACGACAGGGATGGTGCTGTTGCTACAATTGCTTTTGAAGGGTGATACAAGGTGGTATTTCCCAATACTCAGGTCTCCGGTTTCAGCTCTTCTCTACCCCCAGGGCTTCAGTCTCTTGGATGTCTTCCTGCGACTCAAACTCAGCAATTCTAAGAACAATTCATTAGGGATTAAATAATCACAGTCTAGTCTCCTTGCAATTCAGGAAATGAATCCCTCTCCACTAGACACCCATCATTTCCAACTGGTAAAATACCAATCTCTGTAGACAGTGCACGGAAGCAGGAAAATAAACAAGGATCCCCGTTCTAGACTTGGCTCAGCAAACCTGCTTTATACTTAGTTTACAACAGAACATTTCTTGTTCCTGGAGGTCAGTATGCCATGTTTTACTCATCTTCGTAGGTTGTACACTATCTTTATGGAATGCTAGTGCAGGGCAAAGAGCTTTTGTTCCAGCAATTACCAGTGTAATCAGTTTTTGAGCCCTCTCTGTGTGATGGCTTCCAAACAGGAAACAGTCCAGTTTTCTCCAATCACTGCTCTTTTGAATCTTTCCATCCCTTAACCACACCTTAGGCCATATCCCTAACTTCCTAGTCAATTTCAGTTAGTAAAAATCAGACCATGTCAAAGGGCCAATCTCATGACTCGAGTGGGACGCCAGATCCTTAGTGGAGGTGGGAGGGTGCGAGTCATGGTCCTGGCTCTTGGACACTACTTCAACGTCCTCTTCAGGCCTGGCTTCCGTGTTGAGGCAAGCATTGGGTAACTGGCCTCTGCCCAAAGTTCTCTCTTGATTGGTTCCTGCTTGCATGGATAACTGGCCCTTGCTGGACACTTTCAGGGGACACCTATGAGGAGGTCTTGTGGGCTTTTTCCCTTCCATACATTTCCATGGGAGGTTGATCTCCAGCCTGACCTTTTCCATCACCCCCCTGCCAGCACCCACTAGTGCACTCAGCCTTTTGGTGAGGGTTCAGCAAGACAGCTCAAGACAGTCTATCTTCCACAGAATCCACATGACTCATAAGAAATACACATCCTTACCACACAAAAGGGCTGGACTGGAAGCTGACCGAAGGCCTCTCCTCTCCACTCTGCTCTCTCTCTTCAGTTTCCTTGCTCCCTTTTGAAATGCAGACAGGAATAACTCAGTGAGAATGCTGACTAGACAGATTCGCAAGGAGGGAATGGAAGACCAGCCTTGCCTTCCAGTAGGCCCAACCAATACCAAAGGGAGATTACCTTGCAGCCTCCCACTCTGCATCACTTCCCAGGAGAAACATTGCACTCTCCACAAGGCCAACTGCCTCCTTTCATTCTTTCCTCTCCCTCCCTATGTAGAATGAGATGGAGAGGCTTGGAGAAGTATTCAGTGGAAGCAGGGGTTAATCCCTGGGGGAGCGTCCAGCTCCAATTGTAGAGATCTTTTGCTAGAAGGTAGGGCACTATGCTTGTTTCAGCTGTGAGCCTAAATCCCATTTCAGGACAGTAGGAGAGGTCCCACTAAACATCTTTCAGTGGAGGCTGTGATGCTCCACTCAGACCTTTTGGGACTGAGGGACATGTTCCCGAGCTGCTGAGAATTCTGCTCTCAAGAGCTGTCAGCTCAGCCACTCTTCACAACTTGTCCTTAGGTAAAGATAACTGCTTTGCCCAAAGTCATGGTCTTTTGGTTGGAGGGGGAAGGTTTGGGGGACAGCCCACATCTAATGGCTAGTCTATTTAGGGTATAAGGACCTCTTCCAGTTTGGAACAACTCTGAAGGACAGGTCAGCTCCCTATATTAGTTATCTACTGCTGTGTAAAAAATTACCTTCAACAGTTAATAGTTTAACACAACAGACATGTTTGATCTCATAGTATCTGTGAGTCAGGAAATCAGGAGCAGCTTCCCTGGGTAGTTTTGGCTCAAAGGCTCAGGTGGTCACAGCCAACATGTTAGACAAGGGCACAGTCATCCAAGGCCGGATTGGGCTGGAGAGCCGACGGAATTCCAAGATGGCGCCCTTATGTGGCTATGGGCTGGAGCCCTCAGTTCCTCACCACCGGAGACTGCCCAGAGGCTGCATGAGAGTCCTCACAGCATGGCACTCTGCTCCCAGTGGCTGGGGAGCCTTGGCTGTGATTGCATCACAATTAAACTTCTTCCTCTGCCCAACCCAGTCCTGCCTGCCTCATGTCCACCCCCACACCTGTTGATCTGGAGAGAACCCCCTAATATGTTTCCTGCACATTAATCTCCATCTCAGGGCCTGCCCCTTGGCAGCCCAGCCTTTAACAATCCTGTCACACGAGCTTCCTGACTTAACTCCTCTGAGCCTCTGTAAAATGATCTCTACCTTCATTATAAAGTTGACAGAATTCATAATGACTCACATATATGTTAAGTACTTGTGGTGGGCCAGGCACTGTTGTAAGCACTTGAAATATTTTAATTTGTTCTATCCTTACAGGGACAATTACATTTCCCTCACCTTACAAAAGGGAAAAAAACTGAGGCATGGAAGGATTAACAGACTCGCCCAAAGCCATGTAGCGACTAAATGGCGGCCGCTCATTTGGATCCAGAGCTCCCATGTGCCATCACCAATCACCATGCTCCATATGTGCATGTGACAAATGTCTGGGCTGTGCAAGGGGACACAGCGTCTTAATGAAAAGCCCAGTTTGCCAATCAAATGTGAAAAATCAAGCAGGGGTGCAACTTACAGGCAAAGGCGATTTTGCAGAAACTGATAGTGAAGATACACGTTAAGAGCCATAGGAGAGTTGTATGGTGTATTAGCTTACTGGGGCCGCCGTCACAAAGTAGTGCAGATGAGCAGCTCAGAGCAACAAACATGGTTCTTTCACTTGGTTCTGGAGACTGAGGTCTGGAAATAAGGCGTCAGCAGGGTCAGTTCCTTTCAAGAGCTGCGAGGGAAAATCCTGCTCCTACCTCCTCTCCCTGGCTTGCATATGGGTGTCTCCTGCGGCTCTTTACTTTGCCGTTTACGGGTCTTCATCTTCGCATCACTTTATCCCTGCATCGGCATCTCTGTCCAAGTGCTCCCTTTTTGTAAGGACACACTCATGTTGGAGTAGGGCTCGCAGTAATGACCTCGTTTTGACTTGATTGCCTCTGTAAAGACCCTGTTTCCAATGACAGTCATGCTGTGAGGTACTGGGGATTAGGAGTTCACTAAATGAATTGAACCTGTAACGTATAACAACAATATATATACAGCGAAAATAGTTAGATAAATGGACAGTTAGTAGAAGATTTTATTTTATTTTTTAAAGATTTTATTTATTTATATGACAGAGAGAGAGATCACAAGTAGGCAGAGAGGCAGGCAGAGAGAGAGGAGGAAGCAGACTCCCTGCTGAGCAGATAGCCCCATGTGGGGCTCGATCCCAGGACCCTGAGATCATGACCTGAGCTGAAGGCAGAGGCTTAACCCATTGAGCCATGCAGGCGCCCCGTTAGTAGAAGATTTTAACACAACTCACTCTGTCAAAGATTGAGTACATGAGCAATAAAGGGATAGAGGATTTTAACAAAGTAATTAAGAAGTACAATTAAATATAATGGGATCACAGGGGATTCACCTTTTCAAGTGTCTGTATGAATTTATAAGCATTGATTATATACTGTGCCACAAAGAAAATCTCATATTCAATTAACTAAGTACAGTCCGGATCCTTTAACCACCCCAATTTTAACTATTTCAAAATTTAGACAAACTCCCCCAAATATATTAGGTCAAGGAGCAAATAAAAATAAGGTAACCAAATAAAAATAAGAAAGTGTGAATGCTTCATGCCAAAGCCTGTGGGAAACACCAAAGAAAGAAACCTCTGAAAAATTATTAGAAAATACTTTAAATATTTGGCCA